GGTGGCCTGATCCAATCACAATGCTTCCCCATAGGATTGGCTGAGACTGACAAGGAGGCAGATCAGGGGCAGAGCCAGCATGATTCAAACACAGCCCTGGCCAATCAGCATCTCCTCATAGAGTTGAATTGAATCAATGAATCTCTATGAGGAAAGTTCAGTGTCTGCATGCAGAGGGAGGAGATACTGAATGTTTGGATGCATTTTAGGATCTCTAGCAGCCATCTGAGGAGTGGCCAGTGAAGTTATCACTAGGATGTAATGTAAAGACTGCATTTTCTCTGAAAAGACCGTGTTTGCAGCAAAAAGCCTGAAGGCAATGATTCTACTCACCAGAATAAATTCAATAAGCTGTAGTTGTTCTGGTGACTATAGTGTCCCTTTAACTATTCTGAAGAGTACCTCATCACCCATGCATTCGAGGATCAGCTGGCCCAAATCAGTCATAGGAAGAGAGAAAGGAATAATGAAAACTGATGCCTACATTACAGTCAGCAGGGAGATTTCCTAAGGTGCCAAGGCGAACTGTTCTGAGAACTAACCAATATAGATAAAGCATGCTCTGCAGATACAAGCTGAATACCCTGCTGGAATAACCTACCATGGGTTGTCTTTCATCGCTTCAATCAGAAATTATGTCACAACATCCTATAGCATATATTTATAGACAAATAGGTCAATGCAGATCAAACATAATTAACCTCATTGTTTTGTATGTTTTTTCTAATACAAAAGAAATTGTGAGCCGTTTCATTTACCGCTTGCTAAATGGTGTGGTAACTTTTTTTTAAAACCATTAAGCAGGGCTTAACACATTTGCTGCCCAAAAAAAAAAAAAAAAGTAGAGCCAAGATTTCTTTAGAACTAACAAAGCTTTATTTTCAACAATAACAATACAATTCTTAAAGGAGCACTATATTTACCATAACCACTACAGCTTAATGTACTGGTTCTGCTGTCCTGCAGGCTTCTCAATGTAAACACTGCCTTTTCAGAAAACCACCATGGCCACTTCAGTGATAAATAAAAAATGTCTGACCAGATCTGCCAGTGTGAAAAAGAAAAAAAGAAAAACCCCTGTGCAAACTGAAAGAATAAATATTCTACTTTGGGAAGTGTGTAGTTATAGCCACTCAAGACTAAAATGATGAAATATGCAATGTTTATGCAGTTTGATAGTTTAATGCTGCATCACCGTTACCCTTGTTTCAAATCAGCTTTAGTATTTATGTTAAAAAAAAAATGCACAAATAAACAGCCAACAGATATCTATTCATTATGCAATTTGTTTTTTTTATAACTTTTTTTATAATTTACTTTTCATTTCAATTACATGCAGTTCCTCTTTAATTTGTGCCTGTGCTACTCCACATAAAAGCTATATCCAATACAGTTTGCACAGTTCTAGCAATGAAAGTATTTTCACTAGAGGGCAGCAATGCCTTCCAACACAGAACGTACAGGCAGTACTGCTCACATCGAACAGTAACCGTTCATGACTTCGTTTCAACATTCCAGAGCTTGAAATGTCTATCGCTGCAATAGAACAGGTAGAGGACAAAACAATACACGCCACCTGCTCTACATTAATATCTCTCAAAGCTTTATAACGGTTTCAGCCCCCAGTGAGGTTATCGACACACGCCCTTTACACACTTTAATATGGAATAACTGTCCATAACTGGACCAGATAAATGAAGGAATCACCTTCTGCAGATCAGAGGCAGAGCCATTAAAAAGAAGAGTCATTGTCATGATCTGAAAAAAAGCTTGTGAATAGTGTATGGGTTAATAAAATGCTGACATGGGTCGGAGCATTAAACGTTTAGTGGAGACTTGAGACTGCCAGGGATGAGGTACAATCATAGTGCACTATATACACACACACGAGATTATGAACATGCCATCAGGACAACTTGGCTACTAGGTTTGAAAGAATTAGCCAGTATTAAACCCCAGAAGTTCAGCTGCTGAAGTTCAAACAAGTCAACAGAAGAGGGCAGCAAAACTTAAACCATTCTGTGTGCAGGTGGTAAAAAGAACAGCTAGCATGACTGCTCACACACACACACTGTGCGCTACAGTGGGACAGGTGGTACACCGCCCGTAAAGCTGGTAATCTTAACATGTTTAACTATAAACGTTTTTTCCACTTTCTTCAAAAATCTTACATACATAAGGGGAGACTCACTATTACAACAGCTGCGAACCCAGTAAGAGTTTTTGAAGCATTTACTGGGGTGAGGATCGCTTCAGATGTATTACAATGCGCACTTATCTCACAACATAGTACAAGTACATTTACTTCCGAAGTACCATCCAAATGCATTCCCAGACATATCACCCACGTGGCAGCATGGGGGGTCTGGCTGTGCCATTGGCCAGGCATGTAACTCCAAAAGATATTTCCAACCATTATTACATTATGTAACATGCAGTTTAAAGTTGAATGTTAAAAAGGAACACTATAGTCAAAAGAACAACTATAGATTTTACTATATTTAGGGGGGGCTAGGCAGTGTTTTTAACACTTTAGGGTCAGAAATACATGTTTGTGTTCCTGACTCTATAATGTTTCATTATCACACTATAGGCACCCAGGTCACTTCAGCTCATTGAAGTAGTGTAGGTGCATTGTCCCTTTTGCACTTAGTGCTGCAATGTAAACATTGCAATTCCAGATAAACTGCAATGTTTACATTGCAGCACATAGGTCTGTCAACAGTTGCTGTCTCCCAGACAGTTACTGGAGGCACTTCCTGCATAGTAATGAACCTTTGGTCCGGTAACGGACGCTGAACGTCCTTGCACTCTACATGAGGACATCCAGCATCAGATTTTTTCCCCATAGGAAAGCATTGATACAATGCTTTTCTATTGGGAGGTCTAGTGTGCGCACGGCATTTGCTGCGCATGTGCATTAGCACCCGCAGGACATCGGAGAATGCAGAGCATTGACCAAGCGCTGAGGGACATCGGCGCTGGGATAAGGTAAGTAAATAAAGGGTTTTTAACCCTTTATTCACTGGGCGTGGGGGGGGCTCGAGGAGTGATAGGATAGTGCCAAGAATTCAGCTTTGTGTTCCTGGCACTATAGTATTCCTTTAACCTATCAGTTAACCCCTTAAGGACACATGACGTGAGACATCTCATGATTCCCTTTTATTCCAGAAGTTTGGTCCTTAATGGGTTAACAAGGCAGCTGTGCAGGACATCCTGTAACTACTAATGTGCACCTACAGGCCAATTGTAGCTGAGTGAGTCAAATAGGCCTCGGTGTCCACTTATCAGCAGTCAGGTTACAATCAAAAGCAGCTTTGCATTAGCAAATCTTTTAATGGTCTTAAGGTGTGCAAAATTCCCAGAAATGTAAGTGTAAAAAGCATTGGTTCCCCCTTACTCGAGGTTAGACAGACATACTCCTTTTATATTATGATATATATGATGTCACTGTGCATTACAGAGTTAAATCACTAGGTAAATTTCACTGCCAGTGCTGAGAAATGCCAGGAAGTTCAAATCAGAGAAACTGACAGAGGGGTTAAAAAAATATATATGAGATATAAAACGGCCATTTGTAATATCACCTCATTCAGAACACGTTGTCAGTGTGAAAGATATATATATATATATATATATATATATATATATATATATATATATATATATATATATATAGTGAAAGCCATAAGAACAAAGGCACCCAATCATAATCCCTATTTACAAACCGTATTCATTCCTTGCCTAAGATTAAAACTCCCGAGATTAAGATAGAGTGGCCCACGGCTGTAAATAAGGTGTGTGGTATCCGACAAGCAGCAGCCACCGCCTGCAAAGGAAAAAATAGAACGCTATCTGCCTTCCTGTATTAAACAAAAATATATAAAAAAAAAAAAAACCTTGGAGCCTGGCAGTCCAAAACACCACAGGATGTCTTAAAAATAGAAAACACTTCAAAACACTACAATCTGGGTAACACAAATCGCAGACAAGCAGCTGATGAACCAGGAAAAGCACATCTAACATCATCATCATCATGCAACTGCTAATGGGAGAAAAACAAAGGCAAGAGAGAGACAGTGTGTGGAGAAAGAACACATTACAAAACAAATCAATAGAATACATTTTCACATCAAAACTAAAGTGGCTCTGTCATGTTTTGGATCTCTTGGCTAAAACCCAAGGGATCTGCTAATCAGTTCTCTCTGATTCCCCAGGACCATTATTTTGACCCTCGGACTGGCCTAATTTAATATTTTTGACAGATTGACGGTTTCTCCGGGTCTTCTATCTAGGCGTCACACATCTTGAAGTATCTAAGGTGATGCCTGGAAATTTTTATTTAATATTATCAGCATTTATATAGCGCCAACAAATTCGGTACCGCTTTACAATATTATAGAAGGGGGAGATTTAACAATAAATGAGACAATTACAAAAAGATTACAGGAACAATATGCTGAAGAGGGCTCTGCTCAAACGACTTTATAGTCAAGAGGAGGTGGGGTATAAAACACTTTAGGACAGGAGATAGCATTCAAGCAAGGTGGGAGTGAGGCAGGAGGATAGAGTAGAGTGCTGCACTTTAGGAAAGAGCAAGGGACAGGTATGTGAGGTAGAGGGTTACCCTGGGAGGCCATAAGCTTTCCTGAAGTGATGTGTTTAAAGCACTTTTTAAATGATTGAAGACTAGGGGAAAGTCTGATGGTGGTAGGCAGGCTATTCCAAAATGAGGGAAGCAGCCTATGAAAAGTCCTGCAAGCGTGGGTTGGCTGTACAGGTGCGAGTAGTGGACAGGAGAAGTCATGGACAGAGACGCAGAGACTGAGAAGGGGTATACTTATGGATCAGTGAAGAGATATAGGAGGGGCTAGAATCGCTCCGTTTTAGAGAGATTGAGTTTCAGAAAGCGGGAGGACATCCAGTCAGAGATGGAAGAAAAGCAGTTGGTGACATGTAGGACAGCAGGGGTGAGGTCAGGGGAGGAGAGAGATATCTGGGTGTCATCAGCGTACAGGTGGTAGTGGAAGCCAAACAAATTTATGAGTTTGACAAGAGAGGTAGTATAGAGAGAGAACAAAAGGCGACCAAGAACCAAACCTTGAGGGACCACGACAGACAGGATGAGGTGGAGGAGGTGTTGTTGGAAAAGGAGACACTGAATAAACGTTGGGAGAGATAGGAGGAGATCCATGAGAGGGCTGTGTCACAGAGACCAAGAGATTGAAGAGTCAGGAGAAGGAGGTCATGATCAACAGCGTCAAAGGCAGTAGACAGATCAAGATAAATTAGTATGGAGTAGTGGCCTTTGGCCGCAATTAGATCATTTGTAACTTATCAGAGCGGTCTCTGGGGTGGAATCCAGACTGAAGAGGGTCGAGGAGAGAGTTAGAATTGAGAAAGCAAGTCAGACTTGTAAAGACAAGTTTTTCCAGAACCTTGTAGGAAAAAGGGAGCAGGGATATGGGACAATAGTTGGAAGGGGAGTTGGGTCAAGACTTGGCTTTTTTATAGGCTGGGTACAATAGTAGCACGCTTAAGAGGAGCAGGGACAACACCAGATGAAAGAGCACAGTTGAAGATGTGCTTTAAGGATGAAACAAGACAATGGGCGAGACGGAATGTGATCAAGCGGATATGTGGTGGGACAAGAATATAGTAGAAGCAATAAAATACTCTCTGTCCATAGCTGGGCTTGTGCAACTGAGAGGAATAGTGATGCTCTGCTACAGGACGCGATGTGGTTCTGACGGGAGGTGTGGAGATCCTAGGCATTTGGCAAAGGCCTACCCTTTGTCACTCTACTGGTTCTACGAACGGACAGCTCTTTTTTAATTACCATTATTCTAAGTCCATCCAGTGAATTACATATAATGGAATCCACTCCACCGTTAAGATATTTGTGTGGTTGGAGCACTGCAGATTTCTGCTCTATTACCCCCTGTGTAACTGCCTTACAGAAGAAGCTCTCCTGCATCCCCACATTTAACTTATTTTGTTATAAATATTATTAGCTGCTCTGTAGTAAACACAGTGACGAAGAGTATTTTGTTTTTTGATATATACAATAGCATACAGATACAGTTTAGCAAAAAAATACACACACAAACATATTTTTTTTTTTTGCTGGGAAAGAAGTCAAAACCAAAATAAACACCAGTTCAAGTAAAAGGTGATCCAATAGTATTTTTTTTGGCTTTAGTAGGACTGAGTAAATAATTAAGCTATATTAGAATTGGAGAGTAGGAAGTAGTTTTAGGCGGTGTATTTCCTATTTCAACCTCCAGACCGTCAGGCATAGGGGATGAGGAGATGGGTGGAACATGGAACTTTGCTGCAGGATTTGTGTATCATTCGAAAGATGTGGAGGAGGTTCCTGGGACAGGCTCCACAATAATGTAAATCAATGCCTCATGGACCTGAATGGTATAACCGCCAGAACTTCCTTCCCATTCTCGTTGGATCCTCCTAAGGAGACTGGATATTAGGGGAAAACATACACCATCTGCAAATTTCAACAACAGGAAAGCACATCCCTCGCTCGGGGGATTATATGTACGAGAGATAAATTTCTTGACTTAAGCATTGCGAGTGGTCGCCATGAAATACACATCGGGTAGGTCTCATCTGCACAATCAAATTGAAGACCCAAGGGGCAAGCTTCCATTCCACTGGATAGTGGCAATGGAAGCTTAGGTAATCTGTTTCTAGACTGCCTATTTCTGGAAGATGAATAGCCGATAAACCTAGTCTGGGCCCAATTCATTATAGGTCCCAATGTCTCCATCATCTTGAATCTTCTTGTTTCTCCTTGCGGGACGAACTCAGAACAAAAGGCATGATATGAAACTGAAAGTGCTTCCCCATGACACAAAATCTGAAGATCTTGACGATCCTTGGCTATTGGGATATGAAAGTAGGTCCTTCAAGTTTACGGAGATTGAAATCAATAAATCAAGCATACAGTGCATACCTAGAAGCATCATCGATTACGCCACTTAGTGTGACTAGCCAATATTTGTATTGCTGGATGCTCATCAAAGCTATACAGACCGCGGGGGTTGGCTGTGTCAGTGTAAGGGGGGTGACTTAAATGCATTAATGTTTCACAATCAGGGATTGTAGAAATTAATTCCCACTCAAGCATCAACAACTGTCATGAAGAAAATTACACATCATGTTTACATTACCATTAAACTAGCTAGTGCATAGATATTTATGTACAATAAGGTATTATGGGATAAACTCAGTTCTTCTATATTGTGTGCCAGCAATGGCTTAAATATTTGTGTCTATCACCTGTTCTGGGCAAAGCTCACTATGCTCTACCTCACATGACCATAAAAACAAACACCATTATAATATGTCACATCACAACATCACCCCTATCAATCTCATACACTGTGGAAATGGACAATGGCTTATTGAAAATAGCTTGCAGGCATCAATATCTCTCTCCCAACGTTGGATGGCAGAGAAAGACGTTTTGTTGTTTTGGGACAAAACACAGGTGGTACCACCTCCACCATGAGTTTAATTTTCTGCGGTTTTACCTTTCCTTTTTTAGTTCAGCAGCATAGTATAATAACACATATATAGTTCAGGGCTCAAAATTTCCACTGTCCCTCATAATTGAGGAATAAAAATTTAGGCCAGGTGTGTGTGTCAAGGACCCTTGCAGCAACAAGCAAGTGTTCAGGCCTGGGTAGTAAGCCCTGTTTGCAATATATATTTTTGGCATTAGGTCTATCTGCGATAAAAATACAGCTTTATTTTGGTACAAATTGTAGAAATGCCCAGTCCTGCTCAGGATACTCTGGGATAACTGGTGACCCAGCTGATCTGTCAAAATGTTGTAGAATCTTAGTAAGTATTACTAAAAAGAGAATTTAAAGTGAATTTCACATTTAAGGCCAGAAAAGCTATTTGGACTTTAAATTCACATCAGTAAATAACCTGGGTAATGAGTACGGCTGTTAAAGATCCATTGTAAATAAGCAGTATGAACGTCCGTGATGGTCAGTTTTACACCAAGTGATGATACAAATCCCACTGCACCCACTAGCATCGCCAATGCAAGAGTCCAGTCCCAGGAAATAATTGCATGTACGTACATATGTATATAGAGATTAGTAATTTGAAAACTACCTAATGCTCCTGTTTATGCACTGTTCTCTGCCACTCTTTCATGACTCCACTGCCCCTTTCCATCTCACTTCATATACTGGTGTAAGGTTCCAGTAGTGAGAAATAATAAATTAAACTTAAATGCTCAAAGTATAAATGCAAAAAGTACATCTATGGCTTTTACGCATACTTTTTGCAGACAGCAGGAAATGGAAGGAAGGATTACAAGCTGGCACTGTATGATAGAGACTAAGCAGAAACGTAAGCTTGACAATCGGTTCTTATCGAATGTCAGAGACTGGTTTCTAAGGTAGAGATCCAGGTCTGGTTTTATGAGATACTCCTGTCCTACAAAAAAAAAAGCCTTTCAACATTAAAATATCTTTGTTTTTGTCTGTAAGAGCAAATGCCATGTTTAAAATACAGCTAAAATGAGGAAGACTAGGAACACAACAAGTAGAATGTAGTTGAATATCTTGCAGCTCTCAATATAAGGCTTTCTTTCAGATACTCTGCATAGAGCTGTGTGCACGCATGCATTGCTCAGTCCAGTGAAATATGCTCATTTGCAAAGAAAAAGAACTGAGCAGATGCAGTTAAAACGACTATTTCACAAAAACAAAAAAATGTACATTTAAGTTTGGGAGTAATCACATCCATGTTTCAAAACTACTAAGTGGTGCAGTTGGCTGCCAGCAAGATGTGACCTCATTGAATACTTAATTAAAGCTTTGCTCCACTATTGCTCTCTATTCTGTATCTACATACACAGAGCAAAGCACATGGCAGGATAAAAGAATATATTTATTGGAGTGTCCCTTTAAAAGATATATACACAAAGCCTTAACAGAACTGGCAGTTCCTTTTCACACAGGACATGATATCAAGGCTCAAAAATAAACATCTGTTAGTTGTTGAAGTTCTAACTTTTTCAGATTTCTTTAAATAAATAACTGTGTATGCCTTATCCTCTACTTCGGTGAGTATGTCAGCCAATAACACATAAAGTGGTTTTATCCGACTAACACATCTCTACACAGTTTCACTTTAAATAGTGTCCCAGAAAACTGGTTTCTTTAAAAATAGACATGGGTGATAAACATTTCTTTGTTCTGTGAATTGCCTCATTAAATGCTATTGTTTCCCTTGTGTCTGATTATATTTAAAACACAGAACAAAGTACCCTGTCACTACAACATAATAGGTTGTAAACGTGTTACAAGAAGAATCAGGCATAAATTCTCGGGATGAAAATATAATTTTGCCTCTTTATAAATCGCTGGGAAGACCACACCTTGAATATGCTGTGCAATTTTGGGAACCTCTTCTAAGGAAGGATATCATGGCACTAGAAAAAGTGCAGACACAAGCTACAAAATTGATAAAAGTAATGGAACATTTTAGTTAGGAACAAAGGTTAAAAAATCTAAATCTCTTTAGTTTGGAAAAACGGCGCCTCAGAGGGGATATGATAACATTATACAAATATATTCGGGCCGGTACAAACCATTGTGTGGAAATGTATTCATAAACAGGGCTATACATAGGACACAAGATCACGCATTTGGGCTGGAAGAAAGGAGATTTCATCTAAGGCAAAAAAAAAAAGGCAATAAGAACTATAAGGATATGGAATTCTCTGCCTGAAGAGGTGGTTTTGTCAGAGTCCATACAGATGTTTAAACTGCAATTGGATAAATACTTGCAAAAACATAACATACAGGGATATAATTTCTAATTAGTGGGGTAATAGCTGCTTGATCCAAGGAGATATCTGACTGTTATTTTGGGATCAAGAAGGAATCTTTTCCTAGTTTGTTGCAAAATTGGAAGCTCTTCAAACTTGATTTTTTGCCTTCTTTTGGATCAACAGCAAAACCATATGTGAGGAAGGCTGAACTTGATGGACGCAAGTCTCTTTTCAGCTACGTAACTATGTAAATAGCATAATTTATCAGACTCACAAAAAGTGGAATGAATGGCTATATATTATTTTTATTATTTTTCTAAAGGTAAGCTAAAAATACATTAAGTTATTATGGCAAGTACATAAAAAAAAAAAAAAAAAAGATACTAAATATAAGTTGCAAAGACCCCCATATGTGACATCGCTGCTGAGGGTCCAGTAGGGGGTGGGGGTCAAGCAATGATAAATGTAACTTAACTTGCAAGAGTCCCCATCTTCTTTTGGCCGGTTGTCTGCTGTACTCTCGCGCACGCACAAGCGTATGTGACATCGCTGCTGAGGGTCGAGTAGGGGGGTCAAGCAATGATAAATTT